ATGGTGATTTGTAAATCATCTGTGTCCTGTATTACACTGAAAACAATACAGCAGCACATTATTTGATGCAACACCTCATCAGTTTTATTCTTTGCTCAAAATAAACACTCACATTCTGATGCCTGTAACACATTCCAATAAAAATTGGGAAGGTTGCATCTCAGGGCTGGTAATGAGGTAAAACAATAAGATAATGATACCATTTGAAACAGGTGATGTCGACAGGTGACTACAGTCATGATTTGGAACAAAGATCCAGGAACGGCCTGGTCTTGCTAGTAGCTCTGTGAGGCTGTGCAAGGCACAGTGCCGATTTATGCCAATCTATAAGGTAGAGGTTGAGTCGCAGGTGAAATGTTTGACCTGATGGATGAAAAGTTAGGGGATCACCAAAACTCATTAGGATCCATCTCGTCTGAGCACCATAAATATCTCTTCAGTACCGTAGTTGTTGCTATACTTGTTTTGCTAAGAAACAAACAAACAAAAATCAACCTCATGGTGGTGCTAGATGTAAAGTCGGGAGATCACCAAGGCCAGTAGGATTCATCCTTTAGGAAACATGTCTGTAAAAAAAACAAAACAAAAACATGTCATGTGAATCGGTCCAGTAGCTGTTGAGACATTTCAGTTTGGTCCAAATGTTCAGCTGACAGATCATCGATTGAGTTTGTGTGACTAAAAACTGATTTGTAAGTTTATCAAAAACTGTCTCACTCACCTGCCTGAGAAACACCCTAAAAACTAAATATTAATGTTGCCACATGAGGAAGATTTTTGATGCAGCTTCCTGAAATGATCCATTCTTGTGTGCAGTAGTTGTGGCAATGATGATTTAATGCTAGAATGCTACATAATATTTATCAGTGGTAATCGTTGCTATGCTGCTCTGTCAGGGTGAACGGCCCGATCTTCCCCGATGACTCACAGTCAGGAGACACAACAGACACCAAGTTCTTCAGGCTTGAGCCATCTTGGTTCACCGACGGCTGTTTTATAGCCCAGCTGTCCAGACAGGTGAGAGAGAGACACAATGAGTGACACGCAGAGAAAATTTAAGATTGTATTTGGAGACTGAGGGGGAACAGAAATTGTGGGGCATGTGTTTTTGGCATGAGTGTGTCAAAAGTGCTGTGTGTGCGATTGCTTTGCGATGAGACCTTCAATAGTGCTGAGGCTGCATTCTTTTACAGTCTGTCTGCTGGGAGGTCGGCTGGCAATGCTAGAGCATACGCGCATACACACACAGACTGTGAAACACTGCAGTATTATTCCAATACTTCATAAAAAAAGAGACAAGTTAAAGAAGAAATACAGCTGAGCCACTGAAACATTTCAGTACTTTAGGGTAACTTTAGAGTATAGACAAATTGGTAACTCTGTACTGTTCCTGCAGCTCTCTCTCTACTCCACCAGTCTTGTTGCATCACCTCCTTGCTGCCTCTTTTTGCCCCGCCTCTTTCTTTCCTCTTGCTGCACTCATAAAAAGAAGAAAAATACAACAGAGGGAAATGAGATGCTGCTCCTTTGATGCCCTGCAGCTCGAAAAATGGTGCAGGGAGGCAACTAGTGCCTGGACGTGTGCTTGAATCCTTTCAATACACACACAATATGCACACAATGGCAGGTCCTTCTCACCAGTCCAGTGCAGTCATTTCAAATCTAATAATCATCATGTGCAATTAGATTGACATTCACTCTCAAAGGGAATCAAACCACGTCAGCACTGCAGCTGCAGTTTAAGTTATACTGATAGAGGTGGGTCACCGCTGCTCAGATGAATGACTCCGCACCTGTCAGTCCGTGTTTTGGGGATGATTTAAAGAAATCTGAAGTAGATACAGTACATGGCAGCATGGAGAGACAGAGAGAGAAGTCACCTCAAAAGCTGCCTTATAACAATCAAACTGTGACAAAAGAAAATGGACGTTTGTGAGCTGTGTGACCCCATCTCTGACAAAATGGACTGTTTACCGACCCATCTATCAGACATGTTTGACAGGCTCCATTCTTTATTCTTCACTTCAGTAAAAATGCACATCTGCCTCATTTCATCATAACATGTAACTTTGAAAGCATAATTAAAATTTTGAAGTTTACAGCTGACTCAGCCATATGATAGAAAAATAAATAAGACTAAGGACCACAGTCATTACATACCATAGATACTGGGGTGCTTTGAGCTAAATGCCAACAGTATGCTGCATGTCAATGCTTAAAACGCTGATGTTTAGTAATGTTTACCACCCAGCATGATAGCTTGCTTGTTAATTAGCACTAAACACAAAGTTCAGCTGAGATTGACATAAATATCATTACTTTGTAGGTGTTTGATGATAAACCAGATTATTGGGCACATTCAGTTTTGACCTGCTGGTGCGTTGGATGGAAAGTCAACAGCGGGCGTCACCAAAGTGATTACAGTTCATCTCCTGGAGGCTATAAATGTCTGCAGCAACTTTCATGGCAATCTATCCAATAGTGGTAAAAACATTTCACTATAAACCACAAATGTGGGCCTTGTGGTGGCAGTGATGGAAACATCAGGGAATCAGAAAACATTTAACACCAAAGATTTATCCCTCAGGGGACCAACAAATGTCTGTGTAAAAATTTACAGCGATTCGTCCATAATTGTCATAAATGTTGCGGTGAAGAAACGCTACACTTGCAGTATTTTAGATGGTCTGGCTTCATCTTTTGGCCCTGAAACACTTCATCTTTGTTCTCTGATCGAGCTCCTCTCCTCTTCTGTTTTCATCTAGAACTCTATGGATGGAAAATGTCAGTCAGTCCAATATTTTGGTCCAGATTAACTACTGGTTGGATTGCTATGAAATTTGTATAGAGAATTATGATCCGCAGAGGATGAAACCTACTGACATCTTTGGTTTTGAGTGAAATGTTTTGATGGGCATTAATAAATTGCCCTGAAATTTGGCAGACTCATGACCCCCTCTGGATGAATTACAATAATGCCGGTGAGCCCTCAACTCCTCATCTAGTACCAACAGCAAGTCAATATTTTATTTTGTGCAATACTTTGGTTTATGACATCCAAAATCTTTCACATTCTACAGTATTTAGTGCTAATGATGAAATGGTAGCATTCTGAACATGGTCAACACTACACTTGGCATTTTGAGCAAGGTGGAATGCTTCACATTCACACCTAATGCTTCATTCACACCAAACTACAAGCAGCTGAATGGGAAAAACAATTTACCTCAGCCAGATATGAGGAATTTTAGACAACAATGTCTCCCACTTTGTTAAAAGGATGTACAGACCTGCCATGACCCTGGAAGTTAATCTATATTATAAATGTAATTAACATCAAATATGGTTAAAAAAAAATCAACTGAATCCAAATCCAACTATCATTCAAATATATTCATCTTTTGTGTTTGGTAATAAACTGCTACAAATACGCAACACAACAAAATAAGCCAATCTAGTCTGGTGTGGCTGCAAGGTTAACATTAATGCAAACGTCCCAGGTTGAAATAAGGTTTTTCCTATAGCTCCCATCCTGGCGACAGTGTGTGACTGCAGCATACAGACAGGCTCACAGAGCTGCTGTAAAGTCTGTTTTCCTCACATAAGCAGAGAGGGAGAGCAGATAAGTGGCTTGGGACAGTAAGTATCCTGGTGCCTTTCAAATGATATCTCACACTCTGCTCTGTGGGGATGTAAAAGCCATCAAACCCCACTGTGATCTCTCCGCCTCACTCCCCCTCCTCCCTCTCCTCCTCTGCAGTTTCACTTTATGACTGCATTTCTACAGCATGGTGTTTTATTGTACAGATCTCCTCGGTGCTACATTACCCCAGAGACCTGTAGTTTTAATGTGTTCTATCTTCTCATCAAATCTTAAACTGCCCTTGTTTTTCTTTTTTTTCCCAGGCAGATCCTCCTAAGGTAGAAACAATCCAAGAGGTGCTGGCGAGAGCAGCAGCAAAGGGCCTTCTGGGTGGGATCATTCTTGACCTACCAGAAACTGTTACAAAGGGGAGAACCAGGAGGAGACATGTAGCTTTATCCCCCTCCAGCAAAGAGAGGCAGACAGGAAAAGAGCTTATAAATAACCAAAATCCAGTTGCACCTTCAGAACACGAAGAGGAAAGAGGTGAGGAAGACTCTGAGGAGGAGGGGAAGGAAGAAAGGAAAAGAAGAGGGCTTAAAGTACACAAGCAAAAGCAATCAAAACAAGTCAAGCATCACAAGAACAAAGCAAAGAAGAAAAGAGTCGACCAATCCCATCACAAGAAGCGTCTGACAGAAAGCAGACCAAGGCGAATACCTCGTCTGACTCTGACCTTAATGTCCTCTACAAAACCTTCCAAATATTTGTCTCCAATCACAGCCCTTGCACACAAACTAAGTGAGAATGCAACAATTGTATCACAACAGAATGTCCTTAGCACCCCTGGCCCTGCTGGAAAACATCACCCTGCTCCACCTGCTCCCCACACGGCCTCCACACAGGTGAGGAAACAAAACACACAACCTGAAAGAGCGGAGAAAACACTAAAGGATGCAGCTAAACCAAGATGCCTATTCAAGGCCCAGGGAAAAGTGGCCAAACCAGAGAAGGAAGTGGTGATACCGGAAGTGCAGAGAGATGCAGATTTTGTCCTTCCGCCCATTTCTCCGTCCTCTAGCTTTCTATGCAACAAGAGCGGTGGGTCAGGGAGCTGTCACGCTCAGCTCACCAGCACGTCCACGCCCTCGTCCTCAGTCTCTCTAGCTGGATTATAAAAATGCAGCCATTGGTGTTGAGGTCAGTTAAGAGTGTTGTCTCATATTACAGTGACTGTGATGATAAAGTAAAGGACTTCATTGTAAATTATTTAAAAATAATTAAAATAATGATTGTATTTAAATTATTTTTGAGCTTTTTTTTGGTAAAAAAAAAAACAGGAACAGGACAAAATGAAGGAGATGAATCAATTAGCTGCTGTCCTAATTCAAACACAGACACAAAGAAGATAAGGCAGTATATTTTATAATGCTGTTTATTTTCACAACTGGTTACATTGATAAAGTGTACAAATCAGTGACCAGCAAACGGAAGCTAACACATCCATCTATGGGAAATGGAGTGTGTGTGTGTGTGTGTTATGTGTGAGCTTGACAGAGACACTGGGAGTCTGCTGTTGATACCATCCTCCTCCTCTTCCTCTTCACTCATCAAGTTGACTGTTCAGACCAGCAGCACACTCCCAGCTCTTAGTGCACTATACAAGGTGAAGATATAGTCCTGTTTTGGCTTTTTACTGCAAAGCGGAGCTTCGTGAGTTAACCAGGGACTGAGACAATGACATCGAGTCATGAGATTTAATTTGCCCCAACTAATAAAATCAGTATATACCTTTATAAAATAGAATAAATAAAATAAAAAATATTTCTTTTCAGTACATACAGTCATTCTTTCATCCGTCCAAGGGCATGCAAGGCTTTTCATGACTTTCCATTTCGCAAGATCAAAAGAATGCATAGATAATTACTCAGTTAAATTCAATATCAACTTAATTGACAACTGTGAAAACTTCCAATCACCTCTCCTGTTTTCATTATTTGCTCTTGTATTTTTCTTATCTACAACAATGTATATCAGTATTTTACACTTTGGCCATTTGGTGAATTCTCAAAAAAGGCATTTCATTTCAAGAAAACCAAAAACTAAAGACATTCAAAAATGAAACGATAGCTTATAATAATGACTAATGTCAAACATTACAATAAATGGATAGTATGCACACAATAAATGTCATCTGATTCACATTTCAACATCCTTGCGACGAAAGATGTTGCTGAGTTTTCTCAACAAAATCCCAAGTACACACCTAGCTCCTTCTTTTGTACACCAACTGTGTTCAATAGTAATAAAAACAACAAAACAGACCTACAGATGTAGCCATTGGACCGTTGATCATTCCCTGGCCCCGTTACTTACTGCTGCTACACCTGTCAAGCTTTCCTTTCCTCATGTTGTACATACGCAGATTTATCCCTTAAAATCCACAATAATCTTTGAAACACGGTTCTTCGAGTTCAGCAGTTTCTCACTTTTAACTGTGGATTTCGCTGACAATTTCTGATTAAACTAGTAGCTAATGCTAAGAGCTGGAACTCTGAGTTGGTTACAAACTCTGTCTTTGGACTTTTATATATATATTTAGATTTTTTTCAGATACCTGGGGCCCAGATTGAGTCAGAACCAATTTTAATAATTCTGGGAGTATCAGAGTTAAAGAAGCTTAAAAACGAACAGCAGAGCTTCCTGACTTAGTCTTATTGCTAAAAAACAAACAAATCTTATCCTGACATTTTGAAGAAAGAGTGATGTGTCCTCACTAAAACTATAGTTGACAGAGTTGCCTGACACTCTTCGCTTAGAGAGAATCAGATGCGTTCTGAAAGACAGGCTTAGGAATTTTGACAAAGTGTGGCCACTACTTCCAGAATTGAGAAGGCACTTTTGGGGAGGGACAGGGGTTAATTTGTGCCGGAACAAGCCGGATCCAGATCCACCTCTCAAATTGTGACCGAGACCTATTTTGACAGACCCGGCACCGCCATTACATATAAAAGAAATTGAATATATGAATAATATATAAAAAGTCCAAGCTATAATACTTTTGTATAATCAAACTTTTAGAACTGCATATTGGACTAAAATTATAATCATTAAATACAATAAAAACAGGCAGTTAAGCTAATTACGTCACAGGGTGACCCACCTGCGCAGTTCACACTGGGTCAGGTACAGATTCAGTGTAACCGTGTCATGTTAGCCACAGAGCGAAAATGTGAAAAAGGTCAATCCGCTAAAATATTTCAAGTCTCAGCAGGGCAAAGCCGGTCAGAAATCAGAAGCTAAACAGGCCAAACTGGACCCAGTTGTAAAGCCCTGTTAATGAACAGCTTAGTACAAGCCCGTCTGATGCCGAGGCCATGGAGTTCAAAAGGACATGAGGAAAATCTTTCTTTCCGATACCTCCTGTCCTCAAATTTTCATGTCGGGTCCGTCACCAAGTGATATTACGGGACCTCATAACACTGGGCCGAAACAGAAATGGGGGAGGGAGTTAACAGAACCTATTTAAGGTATGGGAGGGTAGAGGGGCTGGTGAAGGAAGGGGGATGCTAAGTTACATGTATTCTGTTTTCTGTGTTGGGTTGTAAAATTGTTCAAGTCTATATTTGTTGGTTGTATGTATTATATCACTTAAATGAAGCAGGTGGATTTTATACGGTGATATTTTGGAATAAGAAGCTTCACAATAAACATATAAGAAACATAAAACAAGACTATCCATTGATGGCTAATACACAATATCATAATTAAATACAGAGGCTAAAGTTGCATGCCCCAGACAAAACATCTGTATCCTTACCTGCTGATAATAAATGCCATTTACATGGAAATAAAGGAGCAGCTTTGTTTGCATATTGTAATGTTAACTGGCCCTAGTATTAGAGTATAGTAATGTAAATAAAAATGTAATTAAAATGTTATGGTTTTTAACATAACCCTTAGATGGTATGGATGCTAACTACAGAAAAACAATGTTCAAAGGCAACTCAGTGGTTAGATTTTGGCTTTAAAATTTATATCTGGATAAAAAAAAGTAACTTATTTGCATGTAGATAGATGACGACCCTCTCCGTTTTGATTTGGAAACGGGGGAAATTTGACAAATCTCTTTTTTGTACATTACTGAATGATGTGATAATGCCTCTGGGAATAATGCAAGGTTACTACCAAGTATGCCGTTTAAGGTTTACATTAAAGCAGAGAGACACATGGTTTATTCTGTTTCTGACACATCTGCTTTTGTGATCTCGGTTTGGGAACGGCCACAAACAAGCACACTGTCATCCAAAATGCTTTCAGATGCCCAGTATCTCTCTAACTGCTCCCCTGTGCACACTGTCTCTGCATATGGAGACATTCAAAGCTTGACAGGTGGGGTTTAGCACAAGGTCCAGTGTTTAGCACAGACCTGCTGCCCTACATCCACAAGAACTGTCTGGAGAAAAGTTGTTCGTGATTTTATCTTCAATAAAGAACTTCATTTGTTATTACCACACATCCAAGCTTGTCAGATATGCGATTATAAGGAGCTAGAGGTGAATAATTGAGATTTGTGGGGAAAAAAGACCAAAAGCAAGTGATCCTGTGGCACTAACAGAAACAGATTAACAGCAAGTAAGCAGGTGATGGAAAAAAGCAGAGGTGTATTCAAGTGAACAGAATCCTGGAGACAGACAGCAGCCCAGGAAAGTCCCACTGCTTAAATTAATGTCTCCATGTCGGCTTTCCTCTTGACAAGTGGAGTTCAAATCATTCTTTCTCCTTCTCACCTCCTCCCAGTTCACACCAAACCATTTCACCCATAGCTAGGAATAAATGCACATTCCTCAAGTCTTCCTGCTTTCCTCCAGGCTTTCATATGTTGCGATCCCCATTTATTAATAGACAAAGTCCCTCCAGACTGATACTGAGGTGAGAGACTAATCAGTCGAATTTCCTTCAGCATGTATCTCAAAGAGCAGCAGCAGCATGCTACAGTATGTCACCTCTGTTTGGAGCAGCAGTCCAGTCCAATTTACCAGAAAACAGGGGAGCAGAAGAGAGCGTCTCGGCTTCTATTATGGCTAGCGTCTGTCATTTTCCAAGGGATAACTACTGAATAAAAACAAGATGTAAACAGAAAGCATGTGAAGGATGCTTCGGGTGAAAGGTCACCACTCGTTTAGACCCCCCCAGACTGCACAGCCGAAGAGAAACAAAGCTAAGAAGACAGGATAAACAATGTGGCTTCTGATTTCTCACCCCTTTAGCCTCTAAAAGCAGCAGCAGAGTAGTGATGCTGTCTAGAGTGATTTTCTTTTACAGTTCATGCAGGTTCAGTTGAACAGGTGAGATAGACTGATGGACAAATCTGTAGTCTGTAGCAGCGCCTTTCTTTCTTTTGTTCTTTACTTACCGATATGAAAATCAGACACGATGGCTTTGACGATTCCATTTTATGTTACAGTCTACTGAGGACAACGAGGATGAAAATCAGAGGCGGGGGGGGGAGCCATAACAGACTAACAGGACAACCAAGTGAATGACAGGGTGTGACCAGGTGTGCAAGGTCATGCTGGCAGCACAGGCACAGACACAAATACACTAAGAGCATGGAGAGATCAACAGTGCGGGCAGCAGCAATTTTGTTCATCACACATGCTGTGCTAGAAGGAGCACTTCCTACTTCATCAGTTTTCGCACTCCTCTCCTCACTCTTTCTTTGTGCTGAGGGGGATGAGAGTTACTTCTATGTACTGTACATCAACATGGCTACTATCATCATTTAAGCTGTTCCTTCTTGATGTGGGACTAGAGTCTACAGTCATCTCAGTTATTGTGAGAAAGCAAACTTGAATTGCCACTCAAGAGCCGGTCAACTCTTGAGGTGAAACTCCAATGTGCTCCATAAAAGCGAAGGAATTGTGACAGGATTTCTCGAACCCTGCAGCTCTGCTGGGTTTCCATGGTTACTGGGGTGCGCTGTGGTGGTGGCGGGTTTTGGTAGCAATGGGACTAGTTACCATGGCGACTGGGGTTTATGGCAGGGGGTCTATACAGTAGTGCTTCTTCATGGCTACTGTGGCAACTCAGTGACAGGTCTCTTCTGTTTGAGGGTGTCGATGAGAGAGAGGACGCCTCTCTTCACACTGGTCGAGACCCGACGGGACACCGAGTCACTGGGGGGTGATGAACCACAGGCCTTCTGGGATGGGGGCCGAGCCACCAAACACTTCTGATACCGCAGCTAAGAGACAACAGGAAGGAGGACAGAAGAGAGAGACATACTGTAAATAATAGCGAGTTACAGCTGCTGAGTATACAACTGTGGAGGTGTCTTAAGAAGGAGTGTGTGTGTGTGTGTGTGTCTGTGTACTTGTATGGCTATACACTGAGTATTATACCATGGGAGGAGTGAGGTAAAGTGAGGTCGGTCATCACTTCTGACACACCTTCAAAGGGCTGGTTGAGAGCTGAAATTTGGTTTTAGGGTTAAGGGAAGAATTAGGGTTAGGCCTAGGGTTCGAGTTAGGCATTTAGTTGTGATGGTTAAGGTTTGGATAAGGGTCTGGGGAATGTACTATGTCAGTGAGTGTCCTCACAAAGACAGCTGTACAAACACATACTGCATGTGTGTGAGGCAGAGAGAAAAAAATGGAAGAGAAAGCTGGACTGGTGAGGCTGTTGGCCGTGATCAATAGTAATGACTGATTATTCTTGTCACCATGAATCAACTTTAGTGTGTGTGTGTGTGTGTGTGTGTGTGTCCATATATCTCTGTCCATAAGCCCTGAAGTGTGATCAATAGCCCAACCAGCAACTAACTAATCCTGTGACTCACACAGCGCACAGGAGGAAGGTGAGTAACAAAACAGAGGGCATTCTGGGTAGTGATTAAATACATAATGATAAAGATAAAATAATAACTCTGTAAAGGTATTGTGGGTTTATTACAGTGGCTACTAATAGGCTACATAAAAATTTCCTACGAAGCCACAAAGGGTGTGTGATACAATATTAAAAAAAAAAAAAACTTGAAACAGAAAATCTATACTAGTTAACTTGCAAAGTTGTCCTCTCTCAGAGAGTCCTCTGTCTCTCTCTGATGTTGAACAGGCCATATTTTAACTTTAGGTGACTTGATTTGAATGCATGCCTTGCACCAAAAGTGCTTTGACATTATAATCTCAATAGAGCATATGGGTGGGATGATAGAGTTAAGAGTGAAACACTAAACCCAAAGTAAACTCTAGCAAGGACATTGATTCACAGAAAGATTGGCTCTAAATGTCTATGCCTGTCTGAGCCTTGGTTTAAACAATTTAAAACATGCATTTTTGTATGTGGTATCTCAAGTTCAGTTAGGAATGAAGTAACCCGACTATTTTCATTTGACCAACTGGTTATAACAATGTCATGCATGAAAAGTAATTAGCTTTTTGTCTGTTGGTTTACGTTTGAATTTTCGCAAGATTTTCTGAGTTGTATGTGCAAACAAATCCTAAATTAAGCATTTCTTTAGCTCAGCTACAGGTAATCACCTCATACAAATTCCAATTAATATATATGGTTTGGTTATAGTTACACACTCCATTTCCCCATTTTAAGTAAAGACTCAAGATTACACAATTATAACTTGAAATTTGAGAATGCAACTACGTGCACAATGGGAGTTTCCTTTCTTTCTTGGCTAACATATGTAAGAGCTGGCTCAGAGTATTTGTGTCATGTTGTCAGCTCTGTTCTCACTCAATGACTCACCATACAAGCTGCCTGCACGGCCTCGGACACATTCCCAGCATTGGGCTCACACCAAAAGACGTGACAGTCAAAACGGTGGCCGCCGGCATCCATGATGAAGGCGAACGTGTGCACATCACGCCCAACACCCATGAAGGACAGGAAACGCACACGACATTCCACAAGTACTTCCTCTTCCTCCTGGTCAGAAACATCGGTGTGTGAGATTAGCCATAAAGTCACAGACTTGTAGAGGATATACATGTATAATTCATATTTATTTGGAATTAGCTTAGTCAACAGTGTTTAACATGAGAGAAAGGTCAGCATGAAAAAAGAAAAGAAAAAAAAACACAGTTGAGAGAAAGTAAAATCATCCAACAATGGCACTATGGACATTTAAACCGTCACACACATCCATACAGGGGAGCTACTCAGAAAAACGGCAGCCTCTTATTAAGCAGGTCCACTAAGCAGCTGGGTTTTAAGTGCCTTTCTATTAAAGCTGAAATTCATAACTTATTTATATGAGAAAAAGTAATTTTACATCATTTGCATGGCTGAACATTGTTAAAACTTTATATGCAGTTGAACCTGAGTGGAGTTGCTGTGCAGTATGTGAGCTGCAGTTCAATCATTACACTAGGAATCATCTTGCTACCTTTCTGGTCGGCCACGTCAATAAAGTCTGTTGAATCTAAAGCACAAGTGACTTGAAGACTGTGTACTGTACGAAGTTGTTTAGGCAAAATATGTGGAAGTAGTTGTAAAAATGTGCATAAGGGGAATGTCAGTCTCGTGTCTGACCTTGTCTTTGCTGATGGTGACAGTAGCATCTGCCACACTGAGAGCAACTGGAGTCCAGTCTTCTTTGTTGGAAGAACCAATTAGACTGTCTATAGCTCCATTCAGTATATCCATACCTGAAACATAGGATGTTAAAAACAAAGAAAGCAAATAAAAGAAACCATAATTAAAACATACTATCAAACACTCAACATCAACCAACATCATATATTTGCATCTTATTAGTGTACTCATACACACTGCACTCATTGTGCAAGAGTACAGTATGTGTGTCACACCAACCTATTGGTCTGGCCACAGGCATCATCCCCAGGTAGAGCACCTGAAATTTCTGAACCAGCTCTGTCTTTGGTGTTGGGAACTCTGGTAGGGAAAAGCCCAACACACACACTTCAAAGATGCTCATAAGAACAACAATTTAAATATGTGAAAGCAACTACCAATGTGCATTTACAGAGGGTTCCCAAGAGGGTTCCTAAGTGTAGCCTGCCAGTTAAGCATCCTGATATTCACCACTGCCTTACTGGTATCTACTGTATATATAAATATTAACACTACTAGATACAAGGTAAAAGGTTTTCAAAGGTGATTCACTGAACAGTCACCAACTGAGTGAATGATGATGGTTAATATGAGAGGTAACCAGTGCAGGATTAAACGTTTGTGAATGTTTTATGAAGATGGAAATGCATTCAACACATTCAAGGACACATATACTGCATTTTAGTGGATGTAAACAAAACTCCACAGGGCACCTTTAAGGCCAAACTCAACGTGATGGATGTGGATCTTTTGGAAGACAACAACTGGTTTTAAAATGGTTTATCAAACTTCTCCTAACTTGTGTGGACTTCAGGGTGTCAACAAAGACATTGTGATTAAAATAGTTTTTTTATGTTCTAATTTTACAAATGACCAGTGTGGATGCTTGTGACAGAAATAATTACTGGAATGTGTCTAAGTGTGCATGACACTCGTCATATTCACACTCTCTCACTCACTGAGATGGGTGACGTATGCATGAAGGCTACCTTGCAAAGGGAGATCTAGTCCTGCCTGCATCCTGTCCTGGAGAGAGCCTCCTGCCATCGCTTTGGCATTCTTTCGCTCTGTCATTATCTGGAAATGAGATAGCGGGATTGAAAAAGAGAATGAGAAAGAAAGAGCGGTGCACAGGCAGAAACAGAAGTATGAGCAAATGCCATGTAAAAAACAGTAAAATTTGACGGTGAAGAGACAAAGGGAAAAATGTGTGCAAGAGGATGAGGGAGTGGAATAAAATAAGAGTCAACATAAAAGAGCTCAGGAAAACCTAGAGCAGCTTTACCCCTGATACTGTCTACCAATTTCACCTGAAGAGCAGATTTACACACATTATCTAGGTCAGTTTGCTTCCCAAAGCACATTAAAAGCATTTCCCAGCACAGTACCACTAACAGTCAAAGTGTCGAGTGAAAACAGTCAAAAGCACTCACACACACCCACACACCACATAAATAATGTCATTAATCAAAGAGCTTGTCACAGCAAATCTGCACCCAGCATCCCCCTTCCCACCAATTCTTCAACTTTCCTTTGTTTGTGTGACAAATCTCCATTAAACAGACTTGAGTTCTATGATATAGATCGACTGTAATATGTGGAGCATTTAGCATTAGCATGAAGCATGAGAAAAAGAACAAATACCACAAATGTTTTTTAATGGTCTACATAAAGAAAGAAAGAAAGAAAGATCTTCTCAAACACTGAATGAATCTAAAGCTATAAATGTGTTATACTGGGGGAAAAAAAATGAAAAGTCCATTAATTCCAAGTGAGTTCAGTTAAAAAAAAAAAAGCAGACAATAAAAACATCTACAGAACGAGGATGCTTGAGCTATATGCTATAGATAGAAAGTATCAATAAACTGACCCTTTATCTAAGCCTCCACCCTGAGACACTCACCCGGGAGCAGATCTCATGCAGGCTGGTGGCGATGGCTTTGGCTGGCGTGTCACAACGAAACACATGACATTTCAGGATTCTGGTGTTTTTATCCCTCGCTACATATGCAAAGTCCCTGGAAAAGAGGAAAACACGGGGTTAATCATGACATGCAAAAGGAGAAATTGCCAGGGGTATGGCAATAAGGAGCGTTTTTTGGGACTAGTTTTGAGACTGACAGCCATTGGAGAGAGATGAGAGATGAACTGACCCTCAAAGTCTGATATATTCAGCACACACATAAACATACAGGTCGATGGACCCCAGAGATCAATAGGGCAGCGTGATGCAAGAGGGAGATGAATAGAGTGACAGCAGGGAAGAACTTTCCTCTGGGCCCACCGGAGCCAAAAACAATTTAATTCCACTGAAGGAATGAAAAGAAGAAAGATGGGAGACGGACAGAGAGAGGAACAAAGACGTAGAATACTGTGGAGAAAAATTATAGCTGCACCAAGTTAAACCAATACAGCACACACAAACATGTCGATTTACATACATCATTCAGAAGTGCACATAAAACCAGCCAAACAACTTCCTTCAATATGCTTGCAATAGGAAATACAGGCCTGAGGGTTAACAAGATTTCTGAGTGTAGCCCCTTGGTGGAAGCTCTCCACAAAAGACTCCTGGTTGAGTGTGCGAGTGCCCACATACTTAAACAATGGCTGTAGGCAAAAGGACAGAGGAGGTCATCTTCATTTCCTGCATCTCTAAGTGTGAGTAGACTGGTATGGTACGTCAAGAGTCGTTTTGAAAATGAGAAAAATGAGACACAAAGGAAATTAAACAATAAGGAATGACAAGAGATGACGAGACATACTGCAGGAGGGTTGGGGGGGGGGACGAGGGAGAATGGACAGAATGTGTTTACCTCTCTCTGTGTCCAAGGAAGCAAGGGAGGAAAAACAGACAGTTAGAAGAAAAAGACAAAAAACATTGTACTACACCCCCCCCCCACGGTGGGATACACATATTAAACCTTGAGTGACATATTCATTTCGCATGCAAGTTCCAACAGAACTACTTAAACCCCCCCCCACCAAAACCCCAGCATCAACAGCATATACAATGTTTATATGTGTGTGTGTGTGTGTGTGTGTGTGTGTGTGTGTGTGCGTGTGTTGAAGGGCTGTAGCAAAAGTTATCTGCAGGTAATTTTTATACATACTTGACCTTTGAGTGTATTATGAAACACTGACTGAAACTGAATAAGGTGCGCAGGAAAAGAGGAGGGAGGAATAGTGGGTCAGAGAGATGTACTGGTTGAGCACAATTAACTTAATTGGCTGCTGCATGTTTGTGTTTCCTAAAAGAAATAAAGGCAATAAGCTGGGTGGTTCTAAAAGCCACATAAAAACAAGTGATTGAGAAGGAGAGTGAGAAGAGTTAGGAAAATAATGAGAGAAATGTGAAATACTAGAGGGAAACAATTGGAAGTGAACTGCAGCCATGTCATTGAAAAAGATAAAAGCATAAAGACAAGGGTAGAATAAAACACTCAAATAAAGAAAGGCGATAAAAGTCAGAGGAGAGAGGAGGTGAAGGAGTGATATCTCATTTTGAATATAATGTTATCATCATGTCGATGCCTCTGAAATGTCAAGGTTGCTGTGGGAATCCGTAATCTCTATGGCGCTAATGAGTTTTGTGGCACATAGGGGGAGGGGAGGCACCTGGGGTACAATTCCAACACTGACACAACCGCACCAATCTTTTGCACAGGTATATCTATAAAAGCGTATAAGTGCGTGTGACAGAGGGGGAGAGAGAAACCCTGCTCTAACTGGGTCTCAGATTCCAAAGTATTGAAACCTTGTTGCTGCTACTTCCTCCCTCGAACCATCTTGACACTGAAACATCCAACAACCCATAAATAAATCAAGTCACAAAAAACATAATCATTGCATACAGCTACTAGTATTTTTGTGCCGCTACACAGACACTTTAAGTTTTTAAAATTTAAACTGAATTTTTTTTTTACAAGTACACAATTCTAAACTAGAATTCAGATTAAGACAACTCCTTTATCATGTTATCCATTTGTAAATACAGTAGCACTGCCACCCTCATTTAACCAGCTGCCTATCAGCAAACCACCCACACATCCACATCCAGTTTTTACACACTCAACCTGAGTTTCTTTTAGAATGGGACATGCACACCTCACACGGAGGCCTCATCACCTGTATCTGTGGCATCTCCCTCTTTTCTTGCTACTCTACTATAAAAACAAAAGAGCAGAAGTGAAGAGATGTGAACACAAATATACTCACAGTGGCCTGTGCTCCTATTCAGGCAGGTAATCCTGTGTAGTGGAGTGTCTAGAGACACACGCACCATCTATTCTCAGTGATAAGACATGCATGCACACACTCCTCAACCTGTCTGCTCCACAAGCAGTGAGCACTAACCATTTGGAGATATGGCAGTTTCAACCCCCGCTATCCCTCTCTCCTGCCAAACCCCCCTCTTCTCCCCTCCCTCTAACCATCTCCTCTCCTCCTCCCTGCTGCAGCTGAGGTACTGCCACTGCTGACTATCATGCTATGTGTAGATGGTAGAAGTATAAGCTTAAGGACACCAAAGACATGTTTGTTTTAATTGACAGGTGATCTTGTATTAGAAATATAGTGCCTCATAGCATCCTGCACGTACGTGTATGTAAATCCCTGAGGAAAAGGAATTCTACAGTTCTGCATATGCCAAGAGCTTTTTGCCTTTCCTCTTCTCCTGAATGCACTCAGACATATGCATGTGTGTTCGTACATGTGTAGGCACGTGCCAGCTCAAATTATACAGCAGCTACCAATCACTTTGATCCACATCACCCAGCTGTGTCTTGTAACCTACATTCTGAAGCTTCTCATGCATACAGTAACAGTGCACAGCACCCTCTACTGGTTACCCTGTGACATCTTCACACCGTGTTTATTTAGAGCAGGGGTGGCCAATTCCAGTCCTCGAGGGCCACTGTCCTGCTTGTTTTCCAACTATTCCTGCCTGACCTGCTGCTGATTACCTGGCTCAGATGTGTTCAGCCCGTCAGAAGCTGGAAGATACCATCTTAGATGAAAGTGGAGGAAAGATAAAGTGAGAATTGGCCACCCCTGATTTAGAGTTTCATTTTAACCAGAATAAGGCCAGGAAAGGGTTGTGAAGATCATACGGTTTTAGTGTTTCCTTCACATTCTTATATTCGGGAACATCAAACCTTGAAGCTGCTTAGCACAGTGACGACCGCTGTGTGAACCTGTCTTTAGTGAACCCGCTGTACTGAGCTGAGCTGAGGTGGAAGTGAGGAAATGACAGACTTGACTTAATTTACACTAGTGATTCATCGATAAAATTAAGTATTTAAAAACCTAAAAAACAAAAGGATATTACACCCCAGTGAGTCATGACTACTTACATTACAGAAATGCTAAAGGTGATTGCACAGTGTGCATTCAGAGAAAATCACAACATGACACCTTACACATTCATTGTTAATCGTGAAGACAAGCAAAAGAGCATTAAACAATTTGAAGAAAAAAAAATGGTTGCCACGATGACTAACCTGCCATTGTCCCTGCCAACACCCCAGACCCGGATACTCGCGATTGGCTGAGAGTGGAGCACACTGCGGTCCATGGGGTCAACCAGGTTCAACATGTTATTCTCCAACACAAGGTACATGTCCTTCCCCTGAAAAGATAAATACACACACACATAAGCATGCAATCCTTATTTCCTGCAGCATGACACTGCAAAAAGTAGTCCTTTACTTGTCAGGTGCTTTCCTTCAGTTGCCTATAAAGTATATTTGCCTGTGTGCATGTATGTTGTGTAAATGTAATTGAGTGCATGTCCTTTAGCTTTGAAGGCCTCTAAATAAATGATCAAACACTAAAATGAGAGGGTGGAAAATGAAAAAGGGATGAAGCTCTGTGTCACTTCACATTAAACACAACCGCTGCTGAGAGAAGAACATACTTGATGACCTTGTGTCCCCTGTTAACCTCTGTTGCTCTTTTCTTTGCTCCACCCTCACTCTTTATTCATCTTCTGAAATCTGTACAAACACTCCCTTCCTCCAAATAATTTTATTCCAACAACTGTGAACTTGTTACACGTTACGCCCTAAACAAAACACACACAGAGTGTATGGCTACACTCTCCCCCTCACCTCTCCCCAGATGCCGACAGTGTCTCGGATATCATTCTTGCAGTAGGACAGCTGTCTGATGCAATTGTTAACAGCAACACTGCTCTTTCCAGGAGCCAAGTCCTCCTCGGCCATCTCTACCCATCCCAGAGAGCGCACCGCAAAACACTGAAGGACACACAGATGCACCATGTGATGGTGCTGTTACATGTGCAGCACAGTATTTACAGACATATCAAACTTTTAGTAAAATAGAAAAAGAGATGAAGGTGAAGATGAAGAGATATTCTCACAGAGAATTCTCTTGATTTCAGCAGTCCATTCATATTGCATTCTGCAGACCATAAACATTCACAATGAAAGTGGTCAGAGAGAGAGAAAGAAGAAGGTGACAGACGGTAAACAAACCAGCAGCATCAGAGTTTGCTGTGGGAAAATTTGTTCATGTCCATATGATTAAACAGATAAACTGAAGTACCCTCATATTGTATGAATAGAAACTTTTTAAACCACAAACACGGTTTTACACGATGCACAGCAACACGTGTGCAGATGTTTCACAGATGATTTAAGTCGAGCAGAGCTGTAGCCAGTCAGTCACTCACAGAATATGCATGGATGCACACTAACTCCCAAAATGTCTCTCATGTGGCCACGAGTCTGGTGAAAGTTACATCTCTGATGTAGAACAGCAGGTAGCAGCAGCTACATGATACACAAACTGTGCAGACCTGGTTAAATTTTAAGCAGGTTATAAAAACATAAAATCTGAAATTCAACAGCCGAGTGACACTAAACCAATATGTTTCTGTGCACTTGTGTGTTTTTCTAGACTTTGACAGATTAGAATTTTTGGTGAGTGAGGTCTTGTTTGGACTGTTCCAATCTTGATGCCTCAGTGGGCTGTTAGCTGCCAACAATATGTGTATCAGAGTGTGCTATGAGACCAGATGCCGTGACTGCAGGTCTGCATTTGTGTCTGGGATTCATCACAATGTCACTGTTGCTAAGAGCTGTGAATTCCTGCCAAACACAAGACGGCCAAATCAGCGCCACGGCATCCAGCTGAGCATTGCCTTTAAACTCTAATCTGCAATGCCTTAGATCTATTCAACTATCAATGGGAACACGACACACACCATAAAATGTATTTTAGCCTTCCTGCAATCTTCTGTGGTTTGTGATAGAAGGAAATGGCTCTGCATCAGGCCAGATAAAGATACATCTAATTCCAATTTCAATTAGGTGAAATTTAGAGTGAATTTCCAACTTGGTCTGAAATTAACCGTATCAGCTGACTAGGCATGGTATTCTACTGATGAATGTTTTGTTGAGCCTGATGTCTTGATTAAAAGCTTAAATGTATCATATGAATCTTAGGCTTGGATGTGTCAAAGATCTAGTAATTAATGCACCAATTGTACTCCTGTCTGACCACTCAGGGGCAGTATTGTTCAGCTAACGCCTCCCTCAAGTGAGAGCACAGCCAGCCAGTGACATACACCACCAGTAAACACAACAGACTGAAACATATGCAGGTCATCATTTCAAAACAAAGAGCCATGTTTGCTGGGAATGTTGATTATATTCTTCAGTGTTTAAAAGTAGTTTCAGACAACACATGAGTAAGTAACCTTTTCAAGACATGGAGACATGCATCCTGAAACATGCAACATACAGGCTACAATTTAAATTCAAGTTAAACAAAGAGCTTCTTACCTTTGCTTCTGGGTCACTGTTGATATTGCCAGACTCCTCTTCTTCCACTGCTGGACGGTTCCTAAAAGAAAGGTTGAAAGAAAACAGAGTAAAGGATGCAGTTATAAGACTAGCAGTGTGCCATTATTACCACTGCAACCATTATCTGTTTTATTAGCAGTGTTCCTGTGTGAATTTAACAAAGTCACAGGCAGTAGTCACACTAATAAAGAACATGAAGTCATTTCCTCAGTAGAGGAAAAAAAAAAAAAACACTAACCCCTTGCTTCTTCCCTCATTTAACTCTAACACTGATTAAACACAAGATTAGAGAAACTATCTAGACACCACTAGGAGAGAGACCAGGAGTGAGGAAGAGCTGCTGTGCGTAGATAGCAACAAAAAAACAAAGAAAAAACTTTTGGCATCACACAACAACTGTGGTGGCTTGCAGAGAGATTCATGAATAAACATAGCGTGTTTTTTGAGTCTCCTCTTGTGTGTTTGTACATGAATTTTACCTTAGCTTGAGGGATGCATAGCGAAGCGTAGCACCCTCAAACTCCTTCAGACTGGGGTCAGGGTTCACCGTGGCTGCCTGCAGGTCCTGGTACACACAGGTGACATCATTAGCTCATCATTAAATGACAACAATAACAAAACAATAAAACATTTCTGAATGTAGTTCTGTTTGGCAGATGCTGGAACATCCTCCTCACATAAAATTCTGTCGACTTTATATATTCTATTACACTGACCATCATATACATTATATTTGGATTTCCCAATAGAACTGCATGCTTTTCCTGGAAACACTGGCGCTTCTGTGCCAACTACAGCTGTGGCAGCGTACCACTAATCTTATCAGTCATGAACCACCTCACTGCATGAGTATCTTAAACCAAAATCACTTCAGCTCCTGTTCCAACATGACACCAATATGTACAACTGTCATGATATTCACAGATTACAATGCATGTGGCAAACTGGCTAAAAGACACAAATCTGACAGAAGTCAAATGTAAATATTAGGACCCCACACAGCATCAGCCAGCATGCACCCAAGTGTGGGCAGAATGTTCTTACTGGAGGAAGAAATGGCATTTATGCGTTATGTGTAATGGGGCATGCTGCATAAAGGAAAGAAAGCTGACACATATCATGTACACACATTTGTGTGCGCAAACACATTCAAGTCTGTGCCAGAAGGAAGGAAAGATGGTAACACTTTAGCCACATAAGTAAAGAAAGAAAAAAAAACTTGTTGAATGTGTTGCTGCAGCCAAGTAACAGATGCTTTGACAGATCAGGCATGACACAGTGCTGTGGTTGGTGCAGTTACATTTATGTTAAAGCATCAGCCACACAAGCTTTTACCCAAGCAGTGATTTCTAGCACCTAATGCATAAATATACACACTCAAACAATGGGTGAAGTTAGACCAAGAAGGTCCACTGACGTTGAGTGCATTATACTTGCCTTCCACACCTCACTATCAATCTTTCCGCCATAATCACTCCACACCTGTTTCTACATACAGTGTTAAAACATAAACACATATGTATACACACACACACACACACACACACACACAGTGGTGGGTCAAGGGAAGGAAGAAGAACAGAACAGGGCTGTTAGACGACTAGCTTACTGCACAATGAGGAATGTTCCTACTGAACATTCACCTCACTAATATATCTAAAGTATAATATGAAAAGAGTACAGCCAGTGCAAATTTCATTAGTGACGTTTCTTCTGTTGTTCGATAGATCTGTCTTTCAGGTTTAATTTTGCAAATAAAATTCCAATCTATTTACATGTCAAGTCAGCAAGATGAGAAGTTACACTAATAAAAACAACTAAAAAAGGACCAGAAAATAAATAAAATATCAAAAATATAAGTATTAAGTTTTAAAAATAAGCTGATTAAGTTGTAAACGAATCATACTGTAGCCTGTGTGTTTACTATGTTGCACACAGTAGCTATTTCTGTACAAAAAAAAAACAAAAACAAAAACAAACAAACTGTCTTGGCCCATTAATGCACAGAAACTATTGTGAGACAATTTACTGTGCTTGTCTGGCCCACTGGGAATCACTGTAACCTCACAGTCACCGTTTTATTACAAATGAAAAGTGAGCTGAAGTACAGAGCCAAAATAAACATACTGTATGTCTCACACGTTCGTTTTCACAGCTCGTAGGGATTTCACAGTGACATATTCTTTCTGAGACCAACTCTAACATGAGTCTTAACCTCTACCTGGCTAACACCTAAACTTTACCTAAGTCGTTGCCATAAAATTCAATGATTTCCACGGTGGGGACCAGCATCTGGTCCCTATGAGCAGGGCCAGGTATGCAGAAAGTGAGTGCATTTCACGTTTCAGTCACTACAATGTGAGTGTTGCTAGGTGCATGCATGCACACGTTGTGTCTTATTGTAGTTGTACACTACCAGTCAAAAGTTTGGACACATTTTTACATTTAAGTGAATTTGAAAGTGCATGTGGTAATGTACATACCTAATGCGTTCCCTTAACCATAGGAACTAAATGCCTAACAGAGGCACCTCCCCTACCACTAACCTAAACCTTGTTCTAGCCTTTACCCTAAAAGCTAATTTTAACCCTCAAGCAGCTGTTTGAAGCTGTGAGGACCAGCTAAAATGTCTTCACAACAATGACATACGAAAATTGGTCCAGACTGTGTAAAAAAAATAAAGACATGTACACACACACTGTCACACAGAGAGAAAAATATCAAGCACAACTAAAGGCTACTAAGTCAAAGAAGAACTAGAAGAGTGGTGGGCAAGGAAGAGGACAAGCTGTGGAAAGTTTTAAAGGGCCCTACCTTGTCTTCATCTTCATGATGCTGAGAGTGAAGCTCTTGATCAGGCATCCCCTGTAGAGATGAAGAACGAGGCTAAGGGAGGAAGGAA